GTTATATATCACTGACAGAATAGTCATTCATATGTATTGTGAAAACATTTTGTTTACTAATTCTATTTACAATCATAGCCTTCTGAAAATAGAACAGAAGGCTATGTGAACAGAAGGCTATGTGTAACAATCGATTATGTGAAATAGGTTTAAGACTTCTCCGCTTCAGATTTGTGTGTTGTGTTGACAATTGCCTGTGAGAGTTCCTACATACTCTAGAGAGAGAGTAGAGGGGATGCGGGGACTCGTCGCTCGTGGAGTTGTGTGAGACTGGAGACGGCGAGACTGGAGTCGGTGAGACGTGAGTCTGTGAGTCTGAGACTGTGTACTGTGAGTCGTGACTGTGAGCCTGTGACTTGTGAGTTGACTGATGATTCTAACTTCAGAGATGGGCTATTTTATATAATTAAAAATTAAAAGGAAAAACAGATGCTGCGCCGCAAGCCTTCTAAATCAGACATTTCGAAGGCGATGATATGCCTCTCTAGATATTTTTCTGGATGGAGTAGATTGAACATTACTCGATATGTACATTTCATTTTTGAATTTTTTAGGGCACACCGTCGGCGCCACAATGCCACAGTCACAGCGCCATAGAGTCAGTGACACAGAGACTCAGTGACAGACACCCACCGGGCCGGTCCAGGCACCCACAGACTACATGGTACAGACTACAGAGTACAGACCCACAGACCCACAGACTATGATGCAGTTGTGTATATATCACCCTCTAAATGACCACTACTTTGGGTGAGCATGGAACCCGAACCAGTGATCCGAATCGAACGTTAGATAGCGGAAATTGCTTAGAATGATTAGGAGAAGAAACCCCGGACACATTTTTTAATTTTTGGTCTGTTCAATTTTTTTTTTTTGAAAAATCCCAAAAATTTGGCCGCTTATACTAGGTGACCCTTCCGGTCCGAAATATGAGCTTTTGAGGGCAAAAATCGACAGGCCGCATCATTTACAAGAGCGGTCGACGTGTCAGAATCATCATAAGTTGAAAAATTCGTGTAGAAAACATCTTTTTTTTAATGTGTGAAATATTGCACACACCTGGGCCACTTTGACCACAGTATGTACAGATAATTATGGCAAGTATTCGCATTTAGACTCGACATGTCAAATCAATGGGAGAGATCTAAACACTTAACTGGTGGGCGTCAATAATTCAGCATCCCGAATATACACCCATTGATGATGCATCGAGCGATGAGTTCGTCAAATATCAATGTAGAAGATGTAAACAAACGCAAAAATTTCAGTCATACATCCGTACCAGCTATACTCAGGTGAAGCTCAGCTTACATTGCACATTATTAGTTTTCGTTTAACTGAATTTACCAATATTTCATGTATAGCCATAGCAGCATAGCCTCCTAGTGTCTTTTTTAGGAGGTTATGGTATGTATATATTATTCTAGCGAGAGAACTGAAAACCACAGGGATAAAAGGGTTTGCAATTTTGGCCGCGCAGACCACAAATTTGGCCACACCATATTGGACACCCAATAATTTGGCTGTTTTTTTTCTTCGACGGCTATGGCTTTTATAGCTTTTTGCCGATTCCGCTGTACAAATTTTGGGGAAATTCCAATTATTTCGAATAGAAATGGAAGTTGAATTTTTTTTTAGAGGGTGATGTTTACGCGACTGCTACAGTTCCACACACAAAAAAAATATCATTCTCTTTTGTACATTGTATCTCATTAGATAATTTTTTTGTTTGTTTTCTTTTTTATTAACAAAAATAGGAAAACAATAAAATAGACGAATCACCAAATCAGTCAATGACAATCAGAGTCTCAGAGTGACTGAGTGACTGATAACAAAGGAAGACTTGCGATTCGTGAAGTGATGGAGTGATTGGAGTCTCGAATTCTCGATACATACTCTCAATTCTCTCGAATTCTGAGGGGACTCACAGTCACAGACTACAGCTCACAACCTCACACACTGCCACTCAGCCCTCAGCCTCAGCCCTCAGGTGACAGGTCTCAAACCAGTCTCACCGTCTCAGCCACTATTACATAGGGATTAACGACTAGTTAGTAGCTAGTGGATACTGAATAATAAACAATAAATGCATAAAATCGTCAGTTGACAGTTGTCAATGGTCACTATTGGTCAGCAGAGTCACAATCTCCCAGGACTTATGAGGCTATGTCACATGTACAGCCTCACAGCCACAGGACAGTAGGACACAGGCCACAGCTTCCTGAGCTCTGGTATGAATTCTGATAGTGCGACAAGACGACCGCGACACGTTGTCTAAATATCGGATGGCCCATAATGTTTTTTTAGTGGGTCTATTCAGTATTCTAGTAGTCCAATATAAATGAATGTGAGCCTGTGAGGTGACAAGACGGTAGCGACGTGTCGTCTAAGCCATACGACGTGTCGTTTACCAGCTCAGACAACCTCACACTTCACACTTCACACTTCACAGAGTTCACACTGCACAGTGCACACAGGCCACAGCCTATGACCTATGTATATGCGCCGAGTGAATTTTTTTTTGAATTTATGTTCTAAAAAGAAAATTGCAGTTAATGAAACCACAGAACAGGACAAAATCCCTTGCACCTGAAATTCACAACAGAACGGGACAACCCCAAATTCAACATTGATGAACTACAGCATGACCCTCTCTAGAGAGAGAAGAAAGAACATATGGCTGAACGGACTAACGTCCGTAGGTCACTACAGTGCAAAGAAAGATCATATTTAACATAGCCTTCTTTTCTTTTTGTATAATTTAGAAAGCTATGAAACGATTTTTATATATAATATTCAGAAGTATGGATCCACGAATTCACGCTCACAGGTTTAACAGAACACTGGCTCTCTCTAGTAGAGTCTGAGCCGTTGTATTTTGTTTCACAGGTGGTACCGTGATAGGTGTAGATTATGTACCGAAAACTGATACTTGACTGTTGTATCGGTGAAGATAATTTTTATTCTAAGTGTACACGCTTAATAGTTCGGTACTTGAGCCAAAGTCTTGCGAATGGACCGGATGCGGTTTTGGACACCGCTCGGGCGTTAAAATTTTTATAGTGACGGGTGACGTATAGACAAAATCGTTTGTCAGGAATCAGGAGTGGCTGCTGGGCTAACCTCAAACCGGTTTCCGTTAAATTTTTATCAATCGAATCGATATACGTTTTATGTTCAACTTTTATTCCACATGCGGTCCTTTATAGGCACATAGGTGCACCTTTCTGGTCTAAAGATTTAAGTGTATACCGTTTTCACCATACGAATCAGTCCTATAAAAACTTAGATAGACCCTTCCGATCACAATATTATCGTTGTAACGTTTGAAATGGAATAAATATGAATTTATGTTCAACTTCTATTTCGTACCCCCATAACTTAATGAGCTTAGCTGCTGGGTGGCCTGGGCCTGGCCGCTGGCGCCTGGCGGCCCTTGCCCTAGTGGTAGAGTAGTAGTAGGGCATAAAGTCAGTACGGGTCAAGAATAAACGTTAGCCGTAAATAAATAACTCCTTTTAAAAAAAATCGTAAACCGTTCATAATGACGAACAGTTTTTGCAAGAAATTCGAAATGTGCACCTATCAGAAATAATTAAACCATAATCCTCTATTAACCAATATTATATGATCGCTCAATCCGCCGCCCGAATCCTTAGATAATAAATCGGGCTATGGCCTATGAAGTCTGAGCTGTCATATGTACATATTTACATTTTATTAAATACTGATGTCTGATATAGGACAAATTGCAACACCTATAGTTTAAAAAAAAATGAGGGGACTGTCGGCACTCAGTCGTCACTAGGCGTGGTGATAAAAGTAGAACTACAGTACTGTACGTTTATGTTTTTTATTTTATTTTAAATAAATTGAAATGCCCTGGCCCACGCGTCGCCCTAGAATCCTAGATGGCAGACAACCCAATCAGCTACATGCATCACTCCTGTTGTTCCACCAAATCTATTTGAACTATATTTTGTCAGAATGTCAGATAAACGCTCCGTCGCCACTCGCTGACACAACAAGTTGGTCGGACAATAGTTGATAGAGAAGTTAAAAAAAGTAGAAATTGACCTGTGGCAAAACTGTATTGTTTTATTTAAAATAGGGGTACCCGTGGGGCATGTGGGCAGGGGCCACGGCCCACGGCCAACGGGGGGCCGGGGGGCTGAAGACCTGAAGCTGTTATCTAGCCTAGCGCCTGTGCCGGGGCCCGGGGCCCACAGGTGTGACTTTTCACTGCATATTTTGTTTTTTTCTAATTTTAAATATTAAAAACAAACAGAACTATTTAGAGTCCAAATATTTTTAAAGTCAGAGAGTGGGTGATTATTTTATAAAATTATCGAAGACAATAAATGTTTTTTTAGAAGGTATTACGTATTCTTTTTTAGAAGGTATAATTTTTATATTCTCGTGTCTGCGCCTCTGCGGTTACTCTCTTGATGTATTGATGCTTATCTCTTGCCAACCCATTCACTCAGTTGCATATATGTTCGGCTTTTAAAAACATATGCACAAATAACCCTTCGCAAGTTCGCCCCCGCTGCGGCGCTGCCCCGTGGTCCGCATCCGTGTGTTAAAAACATTCAATTCCACTGATCCCATCAACAGAACATTCTTTTAGCGAGTAGCGAGTAGCGACAGTCATGGAGTTATTTTAAGCCTTTTTATTATCTCTTACTGTATTAGGTTGTGCGCTAGCTGCTATTGCTATATCTTTTGATATTAGATATACACAATTAGATATTTCGTATTTTTTTTAACTAAAAGACAAACTGAAAGTTTAGCACTACAGAATTACATATCACAGAGCCAGCCAGTCATCCAGGGCCCAGCGAGATGTAGCTACTGTAAGGGGCTGAGGGCCGTCCTTTTTTGGATAATACGATCCCATAGGTGAATTCCAGAATTTTACGAGCCTGTAACTGCTTGCTTACTGCAAGCATATATATCATTATATAATCGACATATTTTTCTAGTCAGAATTACACAAGAGAGTATACAACCTTGTAGACATTCATTCATTGTAAGCATGCAAGTATCCAGCAGACGATCGTCTATAAGCTCAAAGGGTTCAATAATGACCGACGCTGCATCCGCTTGTGCTCATTGCCACCAAGCTGGTGAGAATGAAGAACTATTTAGATGCGATGGTTGCTATAGCGTCTTCTACTGCAGTGCTGCCCATCAGACGATAGACTGGGAGGCGGGTCATTCCGAAGAGTGTTCAATTCTCCGACACAAACACAATTATTCATCGGTAGAAGCACAAACTCTAGAAGGTATTGATAATTGTCCACACATGGTCGTCGAAGCAAGAAGATTGTACGAAGAAGCAAGGTCGGGTAATCTGAATATAAATGAAGACACCAGGATGGGTATGATCGAGAGTGCGCATGTTCTAATGCTGCAGTCCATGGAGCTCACCGGTATGCCAAGCGAACAAGAGGATTTTGAAATCAGAAAAAAACGAGTACTATTTGTGCAAGTATCATCTTTCCACGCAACACTGTTTGTGAATAGATATTTGCAGAGTGACCCAAAGAAATGTCGCCACCTTGTTGAAGACATATATCGAGACCAGTGTCGCTTCATGCAAATTACACGGACAACAACAGTAATGACACGTGCTCTAGTGCACAGTATGGAAAGACAACATGAGAAGTTACTTGGGGACATCGACCAGTTCGAAGGAAAAATCCCATCCGCTATAGAGCACTACGCAGTTGCGTTAGATATATTCACCGCATCGAGTGTGTCCGATGCCGGTCGATTACACGCCGACGGTACCAGCTGGTTCTACAAGGTTATGTGCAAGTTTATCAAATGTGTGATTCAGGGCGAACAATACGAGAATCTTGCATGGGTTTATGATCACGTCGTCAAGGCTAGTCCATCATCGTTCGGGAATGATGAACGACGCCGTCGAATGCTACAATGCGAATGCTTCCGTATATACACAAAACTACTTCAGCCATTGACTCCAAAGATTTTACGACGGGATCCTAATCTGCTGACTGGTAGAATGCAATTATTGGGATTTATTGTCCCCGAATTCCAGCGATTTCAAAAGATGTGCATAATAGCTGATGACTTTGCACTCTGGACAGCTGCTACATCCTTCTATTCCACTATCTTGCGCCGGAATGGACAAGGGGCTGCTGCCTTCCTGGAAGCCATGAAAATCGCTAAAGTACATCAATGTGGCCAAACAGCGTCCCAGTGTAGTTTTTTGACCGCTGCGATGGAGCTGTGCACACACAAAAAACAGCCAGTGGCGAAATCCGATAAGTGCTTGGTAGCACCCAAAGTTTATATATGGGGAGATTGGAGAGAAGAATGCATCAATGGAAGAATAGAACCGAATGATACCGGTCATAACAGTGAGGCGGACTCCGGCTAAACCTCCATGTGACGAGAGAATGTAAGAATATATTATAAATAATCTAATATTAAATCTGATCTACACTTGTAAGATGTTTCCGAATACTCAAACCCTTTTCTTGCGATCGTGAAATAGCTACAGAGAAAGTCCATTTCCGGGCTCATATCATAGCGAGCAGATTTCAATTGTAACTCCGAGGGTTCGCGATGGATTTTCACAGAACTTTCACCCCATAAAAATGTGATTTTTATAAATATATATTCGAGTTGTGTTTTTATCAATTCGATCGCGATATGATCGATAAGAGATAAAAAGCAAGCTAAATAGAGAGGTAAATAGGGATGTTGAGACTTGTTTGTTGCCAGCCCCAAACTCTGTGCGGTTGTATAAATGGTTGTATAAATTTTACTCAGTAGTAGAAATATACATACAGTACACACTATGAGATTGAAAAGTCACACGCCAGAAGTGGTCAGCCTCATACTTTCTGCCATATTGTTATTTTATTGTGAGATATACACATATTCAACGCAGGCGAGGTACTGGAAATATGGTATGTGTAAGGATGCGGAGTAGGTATTAAATCCGAATCTATTTGAATCGCTTCAAACTAAACAAAAGAAATATCTACACTAGTCGATGATATTCTGATTCAGGTTACGCTTCCGTTATATGGAAAATATATTTTTATTCTTACCGAAACGTCTGATCGCAGCCGATCTCAGTCGGCAAAATGTAATTGAATATTTCTAAAACTGAATATCTCATTATACATATAGACAGGCTTAGAAAATATACGTATCAAGATATAGTTATAGA